AAAGTAATAAATAATTGGATAAATAAATAAATTGGGTGAAGACATTATTCTTCCTTCTAGTAAAATTTCAATGAATAAATGTAGGAGGAATATGGAAATAGAAAGTCACCATTTAGAAGACACAGCAGTAATAATTGTTTCCTTTTCTTCATGAGCCAACAACTACTGGGTATTTGCCAGCCTCCCTTGCAGTAGATGTGGTGATCTAACTGGCTTCTTGCCAGTAAAATGTGAGCAAAAGCTGGGTGTGGTGGCTCACGCCTGTAATCCCAGCACTTTGGGAGGCCGAGGCAGGTGGATCACGAGGTCAAGAGATAGAGACCATCCTGGTCAACATGGTGAAACCCCGTCTCTACTAAAAATACAAAAAATTAGCTGGGCATGGTGGCGCGTGCCTGTAATCCCAGCTACTCAGGAAGCTGAGGCAGGAGAATTGCCTGAACCCAGGAGGCAGAGGTTGTGGTGAGCCGAGGTCACGCCATTGCACTCCAGCCTGGGTAATAAGAGCAAAACTCCGTCTCAAAAAAAAAAAAAAAGCAGAAGTATGTACTCCCCTATGATCATTCTCTTTTCAGCTGACTTAGAGATAAAGTTGTGTGTGTGGTCCTTGAACCAATAGCAGCAGCAGCATCACCCATGAACCTGTTAGAAATGCAAATTCATGGGCCATAGCCTTAGACCTACTAAATCAAACTCTAGGGGTAACTCCCAGCCATCAGTGTTTAAACATCCCTCCAGGTGATTTGGATACATGCTAAAGTGTGAGAACCACAGCCGGTGCAACCTTGGAAGGCACATGTGGAGAATAGCAGAGGCTCAGTCAGCTGATTCCCAGAAAGGCTGCTGGAGCAGAACACTTGTTCCTCTGTCCAAGATGACTAAATGAGGAAGAAATGAGTATCTACCAAGTTGAACCATTATGCGTTTATGTCTCTGAACTACTGTGCTCTAGCTAGCCCTAATTAAATAAATACTCATCTCATTAATTTTCAGCCTTTTTTCTTTTCTAGTATACAGACTTGAATTTTAAATTGTTTTCCTAAAGACTGCTTAAGCTGCCTGATGGCTAACCTTGACTGGGCCACAGGGTATGCCCAGATAGTTGGCCAAATATTATTCTGGGTGTGTTGTGATGGTGTTTTGGATGAGACGAACATTTGTTTATTTATTTTTGAGATGGAGTCTCACTTTGTTACCCAGGCTGGAGTGTAGTGGCACGATCTCAGCTCACTGCAACCTCCATCTTCCAGGTTCAAGCGATTCTTCTGTCTCTGCCTCCTGAGTAGTGTGAGGCTACAGGTGTGCACCATCACACCCAGCTAATTTTTTTGTATTTTTAGTAGAGATGGGGTTTCACCATGTTGGCTAGGCTGATCTCAAATTCCTATCTCAAGCGATCTGCACACCTCGGCCTCTCAAAGTGCTGGGATTACAAGCATGAGCCAGGACGCCTGGCCAAGATTAACATTTAAATCAGTAGACTGAGTAAAGCAAACTGCCCTTCCCAATGTGAGTGGGCCTCATCCAATCAGTTGAAGGCCTGAATAAAAGGCAAAGTAAGAACACTCCACCTGCCTGACTGCCATCAAGCTGGAACACTGGTTTTTCCCTGCCTTCAGACTCAGACAGAAACATGAGCTCTTGCTGGGCCTCATGCGTGTCAGCCTTTGACTGGCACTCCAGCACTGGCTCTTCTGGGTCTCCGTAATCATGTGAACCAGTTTCCTAATACATATTATTGGCCCTATTTCTCTGGAGAACCCTAATGCAAGTTGCATCTCACCAGTTTTGACATTTAGAATTTTCACTATCATTCAGTTCAAAATATTTGTTTCACCTGATTTATCTGACCTATGGGTTATTTAGAAGAATGTCTTAATTTCCAAACATATGTGGTTCTTCAATTATCTCTGTTGATTTCCAGCTTAGTCGTATTGTGGGCGGAGAACAACCTCTGTATGACTGTAATTCTTTGGAATTTGTTAAGGTTCTTTCAATTCTTGTGGTTGAGGTTCTGCTTGTGATTCTTTCAATTCTTACAGTTCTTTTCAATTTCTATTTTGACTCTATGTACTCTGGACATTTTTTAAATATTTGAAAATTTTTAATCATTATATATTTGGTGAAACAAGTGTTTTATTTATCATGAGGTGACCTTGAATTTTAGAAATGCTTTCTTGTCTTAAAGTGAATTGTATCTGAGAGTAATATAGTTATGACTGTTTCCTTTGGGTAATATTTTCATGCCTTATCCCCTTAATTCCTTTATTTTCAACTTCAACGTCCTTTTGGTTTTAGCCATGTCTCTCACAGTTTGTTGGTTGTCATAGTTTCAAAATCTTGTCTAATCATCTTTATATCAGAACATTTGGTCCATTCCCATTTAACATTACTATAGTTTTGCCTTGAGCAATGTTGAGGTTAGGGGCACCAACCCCCCACACAATTAAACACCCATGTGTAACTTTTGACCCCCCCAAACTAAAGTAGTTATAATCTGCTGACTAGAAGACTTACCAATAACATAGACAGTTAGCACACATTTCATATGTCATATATTATATTCTGTAGTTTTACAACAAAGAGAGAGTAAAGAAAATCATAAGGAAGAGAAAATAAATTTACTATTAAGTGAAAGTGAATTAACATAAAGGTCTGTATCCTCGTAATTTTGATGCTGAGTAGGAGGAGGAGGAGAAAGAAGAGGGGTGGTCTTGCTGCCTCAGGTGTCAGAGGCACAAGAGGTAGAGAGAATGGAAGGGGAGGCGGGAGAGGCTGGCACATTCTATGTAAACTCTATAGAAGTACCTAATAATGTCTGTCTGGCATTTTTGTTTTTTCATTTCTGTAAAAATACTTTCCTGTATGACACTCAGTCCATTTTGCATTGCTGTAAAGGAATACCTGAGCTGGGTAATTTATAAAGAAAACAAGGTTTATATGGCTCATGGTCCTGCAGACTGTACAGGAAGCATGGAATCAGCATCAGCTTCTGGTGGAGGCCTCAGGAAGCTTCCAATTGTGGTCGAAGGAGAAGGAGGGCCAGTGTGTTACATGGTGAGAGGGAGAGGAAGAGAGTGAGAAAGAGAGAGAGCACCCAAGAGAAAGCAAGGCGATGGATGCCACACTGTTTTAAACAACCAGCTCTCATGATGGAATGGAATGAGAACTCACTCATTACTGCGGGGAGGGCACCAAGCCATTCATGAGGTATCAGCCCCTGTCTCCCAAACACCTCTCACTGGGCCTCACCTTCAACACTAGGGGTCAAATTTCAACATGTGATTTGGAGCACGCAAATATCCTAACTATATTGGGTCCCAATTCTCATTTCACCTTCTGCTTTGGTTTCATTGCCAGTATCATAGAATGGTCCATGTTGTAAAAGAAGTCAAAAGTAGTCTTGAATAATCAGAATCCTTCTGCCAGATTGTTTAATGTCAAGTTGCTTTCCGTCACTGCTTCCTCTACATCTTCTTATCATCTGGCACTGTTTGGAAGCACTTATCTCTGTCAAGTCACCTTCTCTTAATTCCTCTGACATGGTGGTGTCTATTCGCTCTTGAATTTCTCCACGATCTGTATCTTAAAACTCTTCAGCCCCTATCTGTTTTGCCCATATCCGCAGTCTCTTTCATGATATCTGTGATTGGTTCTGGTGGGAGGTGATCAGATCATGGGGGTGAAATAATGCTTCATTTTAATTCATATTGATGTCCAGTTGCTCTAGCACAAATTTTGCAAGTTAGGAAAACAACAAAAAACACACCCTAAAACTAATTTAGGAAGGCATAGATCAAATAGTCTGGGTGACTAAAGACACCTCAGTTAAGTTCGTACTAGGATCGATCATATTGGAGAAACTTAAAAGCTAAGATTTAGGCCGGGCGCGGTGGCTCACGCCTGTAATCCCAGCACTTTGGGAGGCCGAGGCGGGTGGATCACGAGGTCAAGAGATAGAGACCATCCTGGTCAACATGGTGAAACCCCGTCTCTACTAAAAATACAAAAAGTTAGCTGGGCATGGTGGCACGTGCCTGTAATCCCAGCTACTCAAGAGGCTGAGGCAGGAGAATTGCCTGAACCCAGGAGGTGGAGGTTGCGGTGAGCCGAGATCACGCCATTGCACTCCAGCCTGGGTAACAAGAGCGAAACTCCATCTCAAAAAACAAAACAAACAAACAAAAAAATGCTAAGATTTACAGGTAATGGTTGAAGAATGTTAGGGCTGCTTATCCTTTACAAGGAAAAGCCTCAAGGAGGAATTCTGCAGTGCATTGGAAGAGCAGGCAGGGGACTGGGAAACAGAAAATCAGGGGTCTTGTACTAAATTGCTTGGCTGGATTTGATAAGCTCCTGAGTTAGATTGGGTTTGCAATCCTGGTCTATCTCTGGTTTTAAAATCTCAATAGTTACAACTTTTGAGTCAATTCCCAGAAGAACAAAAGAAAATGGGTTATTTTTCCTTACTTGGGCTAAAACACTAATCTTTAGCAAAGAATACCCCTCCCTGTATCAGTCTGCAAATTTTTATGTTTCAACATCTAGTTAAAATGCCACTTTCTCCCTGCTACCAGATTTTGCTAAAATAATTAACACTTTGAGAGAACATATATCATCTTCTGATACTCCCGAGGCTCACAGACGGTATAATTAAGAGCGACTTACATAAGACAAACTAGCATTTGTTAAGTCTGACTTCATAAGATATTCTTTGGGAGAGAAAAAAAAGAGAGAGGCTCCTCACTGGTCTCAGGATGTAACCTAAGGTCTATAGACGTTAGCTTCAAAACAGTTCATATACTGTTCTCACTCATGTATTCAACTCTATTGATTATTCCTAATGTTTCATTCAGAGCCAACTTCTATACATCTTTCCTTTAAAATAAAGTTTCTAAAACATCATCCTAGTGTCAAGTGCTGGTGAATTTTTATGTAGTAAGTAAAAAAAAAAACAGGACTAAGATTGAGAGCACCCAAGTCACAAAGTCCAGTTGTGATTAATATTCCTCTGTATGTCATTTATTTATTGGATTTACAGGCTATTGAGAAATCACATGAAATCATTGTATAAACAGCACTCTATGAACATAAATCTCCAACTGATTCGATACATATAAAGGCAGTCACCTGATCTTATACAGTGCGAACAGAAAGTAAACAAAAGGGAAATCAGGCTGAGGCAGGAGAATCGCTTGAATCCTGGAAGCAGAGGTTGCAGTGACCTGAGATCATGCCATTGCACTCCAGCCTGGGCAACAAGTTGCTTCATCTCAAAAAAAGGCGGTGGGGGAGGGAGAAATCATTTAATTACACTTTGCTTGCCTGAGTTTTATCAGTTTTATAGATGTCACACTAGAACCTTATAAATCATGAACTCACAAGTTACCTCTATCATGGCTCCCAACATTCAGTGATAAACACACACACACACACAAGTTGCAACACTTGTGCTCAATTACATCGACCTTAACCATTATTTTGCCAGTGCCTTCAGTGCAGAGCACTATTAGTAGAGCCAACAATTTCAGCTTTATGTTAATGTTGAGATACAATACACATTTTGTTCTGGCTTCCTCACCTACGAGACTGGGCAATGTTTGATGCTAACTACAGTTTAGAAAAACTTTAAGTAAAACAGACAAAATGTAAAGAGGGTAGGCACTACACAGCATTTTATCTGTGTCATTTGTAATTCCACCTAACATACGTGGATTCATTCGGTTATTCTAACAAATTCTTCCCTCTGTATTTCTAATATCAACTTTCATGAAGGCTGAAATTAAAACATGAAAAGCGCTGGATAAAGGTCAATAAACCTGCAGATGACATGCAAGATTTCTTACTCCACAATGAGGGAGTTAGATTATTTGACCTTTTGGGTCCTAAAGACATCACCAAGTCTAATAGATACAAAGTGCTCAAGATAAGGTTTGCTGACTGAATCAAACAAGCCTAATAAAAACGGCAATACACAGGATACAAGTGTGATTACATTCTCAATAAAATGTTGACATATTATAGAAAAAAAGCCACCATATTTTCATAAGCATATTTTAATTTTAAAAATTTGAACAATTCAAGTAGAAGTCAGCTAGATAACATAAATACAGAATAAATGCACATAATTTACAGCCATGTACATAAATGCAAGATAGCAAACCTCACATGAATGGTCAAAAGTTAAACACTTTTGAAATTCATTATTTAGCTATGACTGATGGGTCATCATTGTTCACATACACAGGGGGTAGACATTCCAAAGTTTATAAACACAAAAGCTAAGTCAAACTAGAATTTGGTTTCTACAAGGAGTAGCATGAAAATCAGTGTGTAGGTTAATGGGAAATATAAGCACATGATGGGGAAGAGATCTGTGTGGGCAGAAAGTTTGTACATTGTATTTTATATATTAAAGTTCATCCAATTTAAATTCAGAAATACCTATATTCTTAGGAATGTTAAAGTCATTAGATATTTGAGGAAAAAAGGCTGAACTTTATCAGCTGCAAAGGGGGTCCCTAGAGTACGAACGGTCTGGGCAGAAGAACATGTAAACAACAAAAGGCAGACATGGACCGTTCTTGAAGGGTAAGAAATGGACTGATTTCTAGCACTTAAATCCTTCAAATCTGAGTATTTTTAGAGATTTAAAATCAAGCTAAAAATGCTGAAGTGTTTGTAATCTAGTAATAAACACTGTTTTTACGAACCCAAACTCTGCTGGTCCTAGCATAATAATGCTATTGCACAGATAATCTAATGATATTCTATTCTGACTTCAAAGTTACAAATCCACTGTGGGGGAGCCCATCTAGAAAGAAACGTTCTAGAAAGTCCCATATTGAGAATCAAGTCAACTTTGGCGATCGTTTTCTTCCTGGGATTAAAAGCACTGCATGGTATCCCGAAATCACAGGGTTGGTAATCCTTCAGATTTGAACTTTGAAATTTAAAATTACATACAAAGCCGGGCACGGTGGCTCAAGCCTGTAATCCCAGCACTTTGGGAGGCCGAGGCGGGTGGATCATGAGGTCAAGAGATCGAGACCATCCTGGTCAACATGGTGAAACCCCGTCTCTACTAAAAATACAAAAAATTAGCTGGGCACGGTGGTGCGTGCCTGTAATCCCAGCTACTCAGGATGCTGAGGCAGGGGAATTGCCTGAACCCAGGAGGCGGAGGTTGCGGTGAACTGAGATCGTGCCATTGCACTCCAGCCTGGGTAACAAGAGCGAAACTCTGTCTCAAAAAAAAAAAAAAAAAAAAAAAAAAGTACATACAATCTAAATAATGTGGACTACCTCTACAACAGAAATAGAAGTTATGATAAACAGATGAAAACACGTTAAAAAGTATAATGCTTTGAATGTTTTTGTTTTTAAACATGAGCCAATTTTTTAAAAACTTCAAAGAAATATTTCAGAGACAAACTTTATATATAACTTTTATATACAGTTTTCCTTTCTGAATTATCTTTGTCACACATAAACTATGGCAGATTGTACCAGGGAAAAATACAACTGAAATAAAATTCATTGCTCCTTTCCAGTTGTTGCACAAATAAACAATGTCTAAGACTCTAAGATTTCTTTTCTTTCCAGTACATACATAATACTTTTAAAAGCTGAATATAATGCACTAAAGGTCAACATAAGTTTTATTTGCTAAATACAAATAGAAATAGAATATATGTTCATCCTTGAAGGACACTTGACTTGTTAAGAGTTTGCTACAACTAAATAATAAGATGTTCCTTAGCTGCTGGTTTTCATATCATTCTTAATCATTTGTGGGGTACTGAGATCAGTAAGACAAGGGAGTCTATCTTACATTCAACACAACGAATGTTTATGAGTCTTCACAAGGCAAATGGCACTGTATTAGGCAGTAGAAATGGCACCTGGAAAGGCAAACATGATAGATTCAGACCTTCTCTACAGATTTGTTACAAACCCGTTTTTGGGTGTTTTTGGTATGTTCCTCACAATACATGTCAAGCTGAAATTTACCATAAAAGGTACTAATAATTCCAAAGGTCAGAAAACTGATTTTGCCTTTGGTCTCCAAATAGATTGGAATATTTTTATTCCAACTGAGCACCTCAAAAACATCCAGTTACTGTTGACCACAAGGAAGTTAAGGGGGGAGGAAATTTAAGAGGGCACTGTTTTCACTGGTGACAGTAGAGAAAGCTTGCGATAACATGCGGCAATATTCTATAATGTTGGGGAAACTGCAGGGTACAGAATATCTAAAACATTTATATTAAAGATCTCCAAAACAACATATTTAAAACCCAGAAAAATTTTATGAACACTGTTTCTGCCTAATACACACCAATGTTTTTCTAAAAAAAAAATATTAACGTGGAATTCTCTCCTACTCTCTTACCCCCCAAAAAGGCCACAAAGTGCTTTCACAAAGAGTCATTCTTTAAGGTAAAGCCATTGCACAAAATGTACAGTTCAGGTATACTGAAATCTGTTTTTATACACCAGTATAGCATAGGCGAAGTCTTTCAACAGAATTATAGCAAACATCTTTATAAGGGCCATACTTATAACACATTTAAAGTATTAAAAAGGTACAGCTGACTCAATAGCAAAATTTTAAAGCTATATCCTGTTAGCACATTTATCCCAAATGAACTTGAATCCTTCTATGCTTTACCACTCAGGAAACTAGGACAGAATAAATTTCTTGTCAAAAGCAATTTGTTCATTTACACAAAACTAGATGTCAATTAATGTCACTATCTGCTGAAGCAGATAGCAGCGGGGCTCTTGTCTATAATATTTATACTGTCCCAAATATTAATATTAATGTTACCTTAAAAGGACAAAACTTTAAATTACCATTTTCTCTACAAAATAAATGTAACCTATTATATATAGACTGGGAAAAAAATCCAAAAGTTCAAACTCTTAATGTGAAAGCAAGCAAAGAAAAGTTCAAAAGTGAAAAATCTTACACTTCATGTAAACAATTCTTAAGTATGACAAACAGGTGATAATTCAAGTTCATTAACTAGTAAGTCACTGAAAAGATAACTGCATTCATTCATGTACCATAAAATTAGAGAAGATATGAGGACCTGCCGCAGTCAGTGAAATAGCCGAGAATAAAACATTTTACTATTTTGTCCCAAACTATTACCATGTGTGTTTGGTATGTTAACAATTTAAATACCCACATTAAGCTAAACAACAAACACCTGTTAGCAGTGGAAACCGAAACATTTTAATGCTAAAAATGTACACAATATTTAGACACTATTTCATTGGCTGTCAAAAACAGTGACTACTGCCAAATAATTAAATTTAAAATATTGTGCCAGGTCCTCTCAGGAAAATGTGAAAATAATACTGATGATCTCACTGTGATTGTTATTTCAATGGGATAAAGAAAATCCAGAAGTTACAAATTTATGACCGCCAATACTATCTTTGGAGAGTTGCAGTACAGTATATAATTAAAGATGGCTTTGTTTAGAGGACTGCCATAAATCAACAAAACCCAACTGTGTCCGGTGGACATGGTAGAGAAAATGGCAATTTTGAGAGGAGTGCTTCTAAAGGCATTTCCTTGGAGGCTCTGAGGTTTTTTTTTTTTTTTTTTCCCCCTTCACATTACTGAAAGGCCAAGTAATGTGGTGTGATTACTGTAATTCCTACAACGCAACTTCCACTTAGAATAGTTACATGTTCCCAAACTATTTTTCTTCTGTCCACCATGCTGGCTTCCACATTCCATGGTCCACTGTCATCTTTTGGTCTTCCTTCGTTGTAGTACAGCAGCCCTCATGCTGCTATCCATTGAGCAGGTAAACCACCAATTCATAGGTGGCCATCATAATGGCTGTGTTTGGAATCTGTCTCACTAGATGAGTTGTCAGACCACGGTAAAGAGACCCATAACCTTCTTCTTGAACAACCAAAGATAGCGTCTGAAAAAAAGATCTGTATTTTGTTCCCTCTTCACGTAGTCTTGTTCTTACAACTTCTGTTTAGGAAAGAAATAAAATCAGTTTACTTAAACATTATTAACATCTTTATACTCTTCTTATACCTGAGCACATCCCATTTATCAGTGTGTAAGTGTAAGCTCAGGATAAAAAAGGAGTGGCTTCCAATGTGTAGCTTATTGCAACCAGACACATTATAGTAACACCAAACTTCTAATATGGCCAAAATCATGTACATTAATGGTAAGACTTTATAGTCTTCGAATGTAAAAAGACACAATAAAACAAAAGTATCAGTTATATGCTAGATAAACAGATAAAAGGAAGGACAGATATGAGAAGGAGAAAAAGGTGAAGAAGCAGGAAAGAGTAGAGGTAGCATCCAGGATTAATATGTAAAGAATATAGTGAGAAACAAGCAGAAAAGATTTTCTAAAAAGTAAAAACACGAAGAAACAATAGCATTAATAATCTATTCAAAACAGTCCACATATATGAATGTGAAACATCATGTGGACAAAGAAGCTGAAAATGTTCAAAACGCTAGCTGCTAGCTATAAAAACCAGCCTGGGAATCAAATAAGCAAAAATCAGGAATTTTTAAAAGCTGAATGAACCTTAAAGATTATAGTCAGTCCAATTTTTCCTCATTTTAAAAGGTGAGATACTGAGAGATTTTGGCCAATTGAGGGTAGAGGACGGGACAAGAATTCAGAGCTTCCTATGTAACTAACTACTTTTTTTTACATCCACGATTTCTCAAATTTTTTCAGCAAAATATTCCTGATGGGCCTGTGGAAATAGTCTAAAACAATCCACAGCAATTCTAACTATTTACTTGAAATCTGTTCTGTCTTAAAGATTCATGCTATTTACACATTTAACTCCAAAATGTCCTGTTTGGCAGGTGTGGTGGCTCATGCCTGTAATCCTAGCATTCTGGGAGACCGAGGTGGGAGAATCACATGAGCCCAAGAGTTTGAAACCAGCCTGGGCAACCCAGCAAGACTGTCTCTACTAAAAATAAAAAAAATTAGCGGCGCATGGTGGCCTGAGCCCATAGTTCCAGCTACTTGGGAGGCTGGGGCAGGAGGATTACTTGAGCCTTGGAGTTCAAGGATGCAGTGAGCTGTGATCATGTCACTACACTCAAGCTGGATGACAGAGTGAGATCCTGTTTATTAAAAAAAAAGAACAAGGTATCTTGTTTATCAATCGTACCTCTTCTCGTAATGACATCCTCTCACTCAAGGGAAAAGACTGCTTAAACTCCAAAACTCTATCCCTTACACTTTAGCAGCCAGCATCCTAACCCATCCACGGGAGCTCAGTACCTAAACAATATTGCTGATACTGTCCTATTTTGACTTCTTTTAGAAAAGTCAGGAACTTCCTTCAGGAAGTTGAGATAAGTTCATAGTCCAACCTAGTCAGAGTTTGTTTCATAAATTATTATTAGAGCAAATACTCATTTTCTAGGACTGTCTCATTTTTCCTGATATGATATACAATGGAGAAGAAAAATGTTAATCAGTTAAGTGGACAAAAATAAAGCGCTTACATTAAACAAATGTTAAATACGCAAAAATCAAAAACTATACTTAAATAAAATAATCAAAAAAGCTACCAAAAAACCTCAGCATGTAGCAGATAAATTATTAAGTAATTTATCTAGCTGTTAATGAAATAGGCTATTATAAAAACTTAAATACAGAAATAAAAGAAGAAATTATTAACATATACTTGTCAACATGAAACAATGTAAAATAGAGCTTGTTCTTTGGGATCATAGACTTTAATTCAAATTTGAGTTTCACCATTAAGTAGGTATGTGACCAACTTATTTAATGTTTACAAATTAAATACAAGTTATTTAATGTTTACATTTATTTTCAGTACTCCATTTGAAAAGGAGAACAATTCTGCTTATGTTCTAGCATAACAGAAAAAATAAATAATTTTTATGTAGATTAGTAGTAATGTATGTAAACTATCTACCATAGCACGTACATACAGGCTTTTTTAAAAAATTAGAAACTTGCCCCAAAGTCACCAAGCTGAAGTGAGTAAGGGTGGAATTTGACTGACTTCAGAGCTCATGCTCAATCACCACCATTCTATTTGATAGCAAGCATAACACTGACCTATCAATACAGCCTACATTACTTAACCAGATTTCATTTCATTGTGAATTCCAAAGAATTGTATTTTGTTATGCCAGAATGCAGTAAAATTATAAATCTTTAATAAGTGAGCTGTTGGCTGGGGTGGGAAAATATTTCTGATTTAATAGAATATTACTCATATAAACTCAACTGTTCTTACCATGTGGATATGCTATAGTTGTGGCACAAGTTTTTGAGGTGGCAGCAGCTAGCATCATTCCCACAAAATCTGATGCTTCTTTCACAGACTCTTCATCATTTTCCATTGTAGAAGCAGTCTTATATTCCAGTAGTTTTTGTTTTATACTTTCATAAATAACAAAATGGATAACAGTCTCTGATATACCAGCATATGAAGCAGACATGCCCCTATAAAATCCTTTTAGTCCATCTGTCTGATATACTTTACGAACACATTCAAAAGCACCCATTCGCCTTTCCCCACGGTTCCTAAAAAGCAAAAAGAAACATCTCACTGAAAAATCAAATAGCACAGGTTTTTAAATAAAGTAAGTAAAGTATGATAAAATATGTCACTCTAATAATAAAGAATGGTCTTCTTTAATTCATAAGGAATTAAATTAGAATTTTAAAACAGTATTCATATTTTAGATTTCCTATTCATTTGTCCCAAATTTGTCATATTAAATGGGTGATATAAATTCTAGTTCTAAGTAAGTTGAATTTCCTCTGCATTTAGTAACACAAATAGAATGACTGAGACACTAATGATGATAGCATATCATAAAGCAAGCAGTATGATTAATTAAAATTCTCTGCACATGAGGGATTCTCTTCCAACCCCATTCATATTCTCCCCAAGAAGTGATGGGGTGAATATAAGTGAAACTCCCTGTGATCATTTAATGGCAATGGCCATGTCAGTCTCCGTGGTGAATATGAATGAGAACCTGTAATGTTATTAAAGTATTTATTCAGCAATCTGCCTAAGACAATTTTTTTAGTTCTACTTAAGGGGGCAGTACTTACTCTTATAGAATACAAAATCTCCTCCTACACATGCATATAGGGTTTTGAGTTTTAACAATATTTGTTACCTTACACTGGTTCCACAAAAAGGACTTTATCTATAAGAGATAGGTTTAAATGCTACCTACAAAAGAAATATAAAATGTACCTATTTGTAAATTATTTCTAACTTGTTTCTGACATAAAATCACAACTACAACACCCACCTAATCACCTACAGATTCCACCAGTTTTATCAACTGATTGTCTTTAGATATTGAACACCTATTAAATGACACACATATCCAACTGTAGTTTCCACCATTAGAGATCCTTGTTACAAATCCTAAAAGGTGACATACGAGCCCTATTTTAGTTTTTTGATTTTTCTTCTTCTTCTTCTTCTTCTTTTTTTTAACAGATGGAGTCTCAGCAGTGCAGTCATGGCTCACTGCAGCCTCAAACTCCTGGGCTCAAGCAATCCTCCTTCCTCAGCCTCCCAGGTAGCTAGGACTACAGACATGCATTTTTTGTAGAGATGAAGTCTTGCAATGTTGCCCAGGCTGATCTCAAAACTCCTGGCCTCAAACAATCCTCCTGTCTTGGCCTCCCAAAGTGCTGGGATTACAGGCATGAGCCACTGCACCCAGCCCTCAGTCCTATAAACTAGAATCCTCAAGTCAACCTTTCATTATTACCCCATCCCTAACCAATTCCCCATCCTCACAAGCATAAGAATTGTGCTAGCTTGTGCTACAATTATAAGTGGGAAAAAAATAATATTAAAGAGTTTTAAGTCACGCCTATAATCCCAGCACTTTGGGATGCCAAGGCAGGCGGATCACTTGAGGTCAGGAGTTTGAGACCAGCCTGACGAACATGGAGAAACCCCATCTCTACCAAAAAAAAATACGAAATTAGCTGGGTGTGGTAGCGCATGCCTGTAATCCCAGCTACTCGGGAGGCTGAGGCAGAAGAATTGCTTGAACCCAGATGGCAGAGGTTGCGGTGAGCCAGGATCGTGCCATTACACTTCAGCGTGGGCAAGAAGAGCAAAACTCCACCTCAGAAAAAAAAAGAAAAAGAGTTTTAAGTCATGCTTTTCCTAGCTGCCTTACAGAGCAACCCTAAACATAGTGAAACCTAACTCTGGTAGTTTAGTAAACTAGCATCTTGTACTTTCTAAGCTTTGGAATAAGTCTTAGTTACCATTACTTTTCAGATATTTGGCTTTAAGAAATAAACTTGGAGTTTTGCTACAACACTTAAGATTTCATTAAAAGATCTATTTTAGAAGAAACAATTAGATATTTCAAGTTTCCAAACAGTATACAGTTCAACATGACAGAAGATGGAAAACAGAATCTTAGCAGGCATAATTGTTAATGATTTGTTAGATCAGTTTTACTTAAACCTATTGGATGTAATGCTATTTCCCAAACACCAAAATATAAAAACAGTAGAAACATGTTATACACAGAACCTACTCCAGACTAAAAGTCTAAAATAGTTCAAAACCATTATTATCGTAACATATAATATAGGACCATCTCTCTACTTGAAAGTATTATCTTTCCCCAGTCTCTACTGTAAAGTCAATAGGAGAGTTAAGATGGCAAGACTCTACACAACACTGCTTTTGGCCTACTCTCAGTTCCCAGAACACCAAAGGCCCTACACTTTAGAACCTCTGAAGTTTGCACCACTTGGTTCCTCTGCTTAAAATAGGTTCAAAAAACCATTCCTTGATTACTCCATTTAAAATTAGTTCCCAGTTTCCAAGTGCATCTCTAAAACATAGCAGTATCTGCTAATACAGATTTGTTGAACGAACGAATCTTGCTATTGTAAAGTGGTTTGTGGTAACAGATGATACACGCAAACTATTTCTCAGCCTAGAGTTCTCTATACATAAGGTCACTAAATTTAAGCAATGATCCTCAAACATTCAGTCTAGATTAGCTGAACTTGTGGCTTATTTAGCTTCTGCGAGGCCAAGTATAAAGGGAAGTATTACCTTTTGGGCTGGGTTAATTTATCTCTTTCTTTTCTTGTTTTTTTCTCTATGGAATCTTTCTAGCCACTCTTTTTAAAACAAAACAAAAAAACAACACCACATATTAATAATACACTTTTCTCACCTGGAAAAGCTCATATTGTCAACTATTACATTATATTTTTTCTGATGGCAGACCCAAGTTTCAAAACTAAACTACCACAACAAAAAACAAATTCAGCAGCAAAAGGTAAGAAAAACAAAATCTGTAGAAAAAAATTAGTTAAATCCACTTTAACCATTTTTAGGAATTAACATACCTTGCATCAAGCTGTAACCGAGTCTTTATAAGCCAAATGGGGTTGGTTGCTGTGATTGCAGTAAAACCTAAACAAACATGTTTAAAATGAACTCCGGTAAAAATGAAGAATACACTATTAATTTAAGGTTTTAAAAATTCTATCAATCTACATTAAAGAAAATGTATATAAATATTTAAATTATTAATTTGTGTGTATGTTACACTTTCATTTTACAAATCCATACGACAAATATTAGTCTTCATTTCCAATCTATATGAATTCTCAAATTCTGTCCTTAACTAAGATTCTTTTAAGAGCAAAATGAATATAAATTGCTTTTAAAATTTAGACTATCCTTTAGGGTACTCTCTACTGTCTAAGCTGAATTCAGAAATTCATCTCTACAAACACATAGACATTTTGTGTATTCTATGGCTAAAAAGCATGCACTTGAGATCCTAAAAACCAGCTAAAAAAACAGCTACCTGGGATTCAATTAGCATCCCAAATCACCACATTCAAAATGAATTCTCCGCAAATGTCAAATTTTACCAATATTTTGATCTTTAGTTGATTACATAGTAGAAAAGACTGCTGTTTGGCCCATGAACACTTTCTGCATATATACTTACTAATACTGTTAAAATAATGGTATCACAGAAGTAAGATTTTTGTTAGGGTTAATAGGACACACCTATTTTCATCTACTTAAACACATACAAAAACTCAAAAGTTCAAAAAAATTACAAATTGGAAGCTCCCTCTTACTTTTATAGACATGGAAGAAAGAAACTCAGGGTAGAAGACAGCTCTAGTTTACTTTAAAAGTAAAGTACTATGTACTAAGTATTGGTGCAAAATGGTGGTCACCTAAGATGGCTCATTCCAGGCAGTAAATTAAGATCTACCTGGAACAGTCTGTTTCTAGGCTAGTGTATATGTTTTACTTGCCACCTTCCTAGCTATGGAAAAATTGCACACTAAATACAATCTTGACAGAAACTTACAAAGATTGCTGTATCTACACAAAACAGGGTTTTAATTTACACAGACTTCATATAACTACTCACATTAAGCTACATTTATTCAACTGGCCTTTAAATTCAATAAAAACTGATATGCAGAAATGTTTAAGGATTTAACTGTTTTAATATTCCTATCAAATACTGGTCAAGCGTACTATTTTTATAAAGGTAGCTTATGATCAGTATATTTAAGATGAGTAAAGTACTTACAGGAATGGAAGTGCTATAATGTACTTAAGAATAATTTGTTTTAAAATTATTATTAATATACAGATCCAATAATAAATCTTTCTTGGCTTTCAAAGGTATTATCTACATATGCAAAATAATTAGACTAAATTGTTTACAAAGCTGAATTTGGTCTCACAAGGTTCTTTTCTATGTCACTAACTGGTTAATTCAAAATTTACTTCCTTAACCCACTGTTTTAACACTGAAGAAATAGCCAGAAGTTACACAGATGGATGCTCCAATTAAATCTATTTAGCAAGCAAGATAAATAGAGTAAAAATTCTGTTTAAATAACTCCTTTAATACTTTTGGAGAGATTACATAGTCTACATTTCTCTTAAGTGCTCTAAATACTACATATATAAATATAAAACTAGAATGGGACCAACAATTTTAGACGCATCAGCAGGTACTAAATTGATAAAATTTAAAGTGTTGAGCAGATTGCCAGGAACATCTTTTTAAATAAAAGGTTTTTTTCATGCATCTATTCTTGGTAAAAGGAATGAAAAGAAAAACATGAAACTATCAGACCAGTTTAAATATTTTTCTTGCATGGTTCTAGCTTAACTGAGAACAAAGTTATAGAGTATTATTTTTTTTCTTCTTTTGAACCTCATTTTTCTAAATGAAAAGGCTAGGATATTCAAATTATATTTTAAAGCAATCAGACATCAATATTCTGGTCAAACTCCAATTTAATAATTCTTGTTTTATAAACTTAAATATTTCTATTAGCTGAATGTCTGTACGGCAAAATTAAGGGTTTATTAGTAAAAAGCCGCTAAGCAGCATAAACCAACAAAATATTCTGCATTACTCACAATAATTTTTATTAATCATTTTGTAGAAATCTTAAGAAAAACAATTTTCTTTTTATTGAATTTTAAAAGCTTAAAAATGGGAATCATTACAACAAACTTAAAAAAAAAACAGCCAATCTAGGTGAAAGTTCTCATTCACCTTATTATACTTATTTGAAAGAAGATGAGCATCTAAGTTTTTTTTTTTTAATAAAAGTTCTGTTTCTAAAAACATAAAGTTAATACCCAAGCTTCTGTCCATAATACTCTTCCAAGTCACAAAAGATTTTGAGGCTGGAAAAAAACCCATACATAAAAAACTTCACAACAATACAATCAATTTTTGTAAATGTTAGGAATAAAACTTTTTATAGATCCCCAAATTATAAATTTTATTCTCTGTACATATTAGTGTAACGTCAGAAAGCAAACAACAGGTATTTCTCACTTAACTAAAATTCATTTCCAAGCACAAATTAACCTATGTTAACAGGACACATTAAAATTTAGGTAAGTGAGAGAATGTCATCTTATCCCTATGTAATTGCTACTATCAGCAAGCTATGTTTACTACGGTTGCTCTGGCTCAACTCTCCTAATGAGAGCTAGCTCTTAATTAAAGACACTAGCCTAACTGCTAGCAAACCATAGGTTAGATAAATAATCTAGGCACAATCCACTATTAGTCTTTTACCTCTTAAAACTCAGGTCCTTGAGTTTTATGCTATCCCCTAACCAAAGACACTTTAACAAACTAAATAGACATTACTAGGCTAATTACATCTAATAAATATAATCTACTAATCTAATAAATAAAGCCAATGGAATAAAACAAAAATTTATCGTAACTTAGCATTATATATGGTAAGGCAATTTGAGGTTAGCCAAAGCTAAACATTCTTCCTACTACTTATGAGACGAACACACACAAAGATACTGGGAATGGTGCCCCTGAAATTTAGAAATTGCCTATTACTTTTTATTTTGCATTTTAGTTTTGTGACATTTTAATAACATGCTAATTTATATTAAGATTCTGAGCACCCAGTGAAACATTAAAATGAACTTAAGATGACATGAGGGATCCATTTGTAAGTTAAGAAGAACTAATATTGTTCCACAGTCAGTTAAAGCCAAGTGCCAGTATATTGGCCATATTGTTAGTAGGGTGGTTAGCATATTAGAAAGCTTAAAAAACGTTAAAAAAAAACTATTTTAAAAGTTTTGCTTTATTGAAGTAAGACTCCATTTGATAGTTGTCAACCAATTAAAAACCAGATTAACAGAAAAATTCTGCTTAAACTTGCTGAAAATGTTTTCATTAAGTGAGTGATACCTGTAGTGTTGCATTTTCAGTACTTTTTATTTCAACTAACTTCTGTAAGAACAAAGCCCACCTAACCTCCTAAGAAAAATAAATATTAACATTACTTTTTAAAGTAATTAAAACGAAAACAGCTAAGATCCCATATATTCTTATCCTGCATTTATTTGCAAAGTAATGATATTAAAATCTATTTATTTATTTATTTGTTTTGCAAAAACGCTCTAAGAAAGCCAAGTATCAACAGACAAAAGAATGAAAAGCATTGTATTAGGCTTTTAAATATGTTATGCTAAGCAAAGAGAACTATGATTTTGTCTAAAACTTTTAAGATAGTATAATACCATTTACAGCAATATATATACATAGAGAGAGTTATCAAATTCTTTGGGGGTCAAGGCTGTTATGGCCAAGCTGAAGACCCCAGGTTTTTATTACACGATGACTAAAAAATGGGATCAGACTTAGCCTTTATAAAATATGCAATGCACACACAAATTCAGGAAATAAAAGTTAATTTCCCGCCTTCTAATTCCACAGCTATTACAAAATCCCAGGGTGTGTTTCTTATACTACAGGCTGCAAGAGATGCTCAGATCAGTACTCACGAGGTTTAAGTTAGTCCATATTTCTACAGGAAGTGACCTGCGGATGGGGAGCATGAGATGACACGATCTCACTCTTTTCTCGGGAGAAATGTACAGTAAATGCCTAAAATAGACACAGGCTTTTCTGTATCATAACAACAAGCAGTGACCTCATCAGAAACATGTGTACAAACTGAATCCCATTGGAAGGATTTGAGAAATATTTACTGTGAGATCTAACTTTTTTGAAAATTTTAAGTTAAAAAAAAAAAGAAATATCAAAATGGGCCATTTAAAAAAATGTACCGAGTACTGAAAATCCTGCCATCTGCAGCAGTTTCAGAATCTAAATACTTACCTAAAAGAAGATCAATTCTGCCTTAAAGAAAAAATGCTAACCTTGTCAAAAGGGAATATTTAGAGGGGATCATCATGTCCCATTTCCCCACCACTATTATCTACTATGATTAAGGAGCTGAAAACACAATTTCTATTCTTTAACAATCAACCTACTTAGTAAATCTTGAAAAAAAAAAAAAAACCCAACAGAATATTCAAGTAACTTCATTTTGGAGCTATTTATATAAATTTTTAATAAAAGTATATATTTGCTACAATAGTACCTTTCACCTTTTGCACTATGGCCAGTAATATTGCACATCCATACTTATGAAATATTTTGCATTATTTTGTATTTAATTTCTTGTGTTCTACAAAACAAAAAACAGGAAGAATGTTTACACACAAACACACAAAACATCTGTCCAACCATCCATCTGGCTGAATTAACTGCCATGGACAAATAAAATATTGTTTAAAAATATTTCATAAATGCAAGACAATACCTGTATTTAATGAGTAAAAGCCTTTATTATAATGAAGTTTAAGTCTAACAGAAAAACATAAATTGAAAAATAATAGTGTATACCGTAAGCAAATCAAACCCACTAGGTATGCAGGAAACATTCAATAAATGTAAGTATTTTAAAAACTGAGAAGTAACTATATGGATATACAATCCAATTAAAATCAGAATTCATTTCCTGTACATTTATAATATTGTATATAAAAGTATATACATGCCAGATAAAATCTTTTAAAAGTTGGGAATTACTATAAAGAAGTAATAAAATTTTTTTGCATACATCCGTGCCTAGGTGTGTATATGGAGGAATATACAAGTTAATTTAAACAAAATATACAGGCAAGAAGACAGATACCCTCAATAGCTAAGATTTACTTAGTCTGTCAATAGCTAAGATTTACTTAGTCTGTCAAAAGTCATGTGTAGGAGGAAAAACAGGCAGGCAAAATATTAAGAATCAACATTATTTAATTTGATTATCCTCACAACTTAAAAAACCTTTATGCATGAAAATTGATAACTCAATTTTAGAGGCTTCCAAATTCTATAGTGTACACTACAACAAATAAAAAGACCCACTTTAAATAACCTCTCCTTTTATTTAATAGAGTTATTTAATAACTCTACTTATTAAAGTAAATTTTTAGTATCGAACTTAAACATGAGTTCATATGGATAAAATGCAAAATGAATTGAAAGGTCACTTGGAATAAAAATTACATATACACTGCCTTATAAATTCTTAATGTGTATGCTATTTGGTGTGCTAAAATCTTGCAGGCAGTATCATTAACGGTCTATTAGCGTGTTATTGTGTACTAAAGTGACAAGGTTAGCATTTTTTCCCTTTAAAATAGACAGTTAAAAAATGATTTTTCACAGAACTATCTTTAAGTACTTCATACTCCCAAATCATTCTTATATAGACCTACAAAAATAATCCTAAAAAACCCCCAAGTAATCTGGTCTAGATTATTCAAGAACAAAGGGGGCAAAAGCCTACCTTAATAAGTCTGCATTGGACCATTCAATTTTACCAACCATATAGTTATGTATAAAACTGCAAAACTAAATGTTAATGCTCATGAATAGTGCACAGAAGCTCTGAAAGCACAATTCTCAAACAATGTAACTGCAAACAAGTTCAAGCAGTATAATCTCTGAACAAGTTTGAGACTATCAGTTTACCAAAACTCAAGGAATTCAAGTTGGGAAATGGTATTAATGTATAGATAAAAACAAACTATATATCAACATTTGTACACATTTGAGAAAAAAGTGCAAACTGACAATTCCGAAATTCTTTGCAATGCGATACAAACACAGTAATAAATTCTGATGACCTACTCTAATGAAATAAGATGTTCCAGTGGAAATAAAAATATTCTGAACCTCTACATTTGCAATACTGATATAACAAATATCAATTTAAAATGGCTGCTCATCTACTTTCTAGATTTCAGTTTTTTCAAATAAAATTAACGTTTCTTTATAATTATCTGAGGTTAAAAGTCAAAAACATAATCACTGATAATTCAGAAATATATTTCTAAAGAACCTGATAGAGTGGTTATAAGGTTTGTCACTGGCCACCAACCTTTACCTTATATCCAATCAAATTCATAGGGGAAAAATCCTATCTATTAATATTTAACATCTGTAAAAATTACATTAAAAATAATTCTAGTTGTAACAAGATAGTCTCTATGACACTAAATCAAAGAACTAATTTTCAAAATCCAGATCTATGTAGACCACCTGACTCATTCCATGGGTAAGCTAACAGAGGTTTGTGTAAGTTACATAAATTGTCCAAGGTCTCCTTATTGGTAAACCAGAATATTTCACCATTTTGACCTTTAGATTGTCTCTTCCAGTTTTAAAGCTTCGGTGAGTCAATTGACAATCATTAAATATAAAAAGCCTTAAAACCAATTTGTAATATGATAAGAGCTATCGATCTTTCAGAAATTTGTATTTCAAACTTACTTCATGAAGTATATAGGTCAAATGGATTCAATTTATTTCTAAACCGAATTTATAAATTCAATTTATTTCTAAACCGAAATTTATATGTAGGTCAAATGGATTCAATTTATTTCTAAAATGTTTAACAGTTTAAGGCACTCATTAAGAATAAGTACATAATTGATACTCAATTTACTGATCAATAGCTGATGAAAGCAGCCACAGTTTATAGTCATAGCATAATTTGAAAATGTGAGATACAGGTAAATAAATACGCAATAAATCTTAGATATCGGAGAGAATTTTCTATTGGAAATCAAAGTTCATGGATGGCTCTGTCTAACATGCATAATAGCAAATGATTCCAGAATGAGACTGGTCAAACCAACCTCCAACTGCTTATCTTTACGGCAGTGCAAAGACCTAAAACTAGTTATTTTAATTCAGAATCATATATACTTATCAATGATGACAGAAACAGAGAGTTCCTGGAAACATTTCTATAGTAAGCATGTACACATAGCCATTGTCTAAATTTCAGGTACCATCTAGTCTAATTTACATGGAATAATAAACAATTTAAAAATATACACATAGTAAGTGAATTATCAAAAATATATCACTTATAAAAATTTCAGCATTTGAGCACAGGACAAAATGAATACTTTACCAAGAATTGCCGACACATTTCAGACAGAAGCCAAAACATGCAGCAAAAAGGGAAAAGGCACTAACAGAAATGAGGAGAGAAGCATAAATTATAGCTCCATAATTTATTTATAGTGTAATTATGGTTGAATTCTTAAAACTATTAACAATGATCACTAAACATTCAGTGGACTACACAAGGCAATATAAATATATTTACCTGTACCCTAGCATGTAAACTCCTAACTACAAAAATGTCACCTGATGAAGACTTTACATATATCTAATTTGTTTTATATCGATAAATGTAAAAACCATCTAATAATGAAAAGCACATCCATCATTAATTTTTCAATACAAACTTATAATTCAATATTAAGCCTCTAGGTTTCAGAAAGTTTTTTGTTTTTTAATATCATACATTCATACCTGCCATTGCAGCTGAAATCATGTGTACTTGGGTAGAATCCGGATCAAATACATCATTCAACTTTTCCTTGCAGTTTGAATAAGCAGCAAAGTATATTGCTCTAAAATAGAGATTTTAGATTATCAATAAGCATGTTCTTCATGCATAAGATTTAAATATAAATTGAACTTCACAATTTTAGAATGGAGAAATTTTAAAACCATAAAGTCTTAGCCATATTCTCATGTAACATTAGACTTACACTTTTCATAAATACCCTGAAGTACTTTTTGTATTGACTCATTAAAATAAGACAGTATCAAATGTAAAGTTCATACCATTCATCCACAAACAGACCCCCATCCAATACTCTGATAGCCACTTAACTCACTGAAACTTGGTATCCAAGAAGATAAAACAAAAAAAGGAATTTTTTTTAAAAAAGAAAATAAAAATAACTAATTTAAATAAAAATTATTTAAGATTACGATGTTTAGAAACTAAATGAGTGAATAAGGCTGTATGGCTGGTGCAATGCTAAGGCTAAATACAGTTACTGGAGATAAGTAGATATGGTATGAGCATTTAACATATGATTTTTTGATGGGGAGAAGAAGGTAAAACAGATCCAATTCATTCAAGTATATGCTCAACAACTTTAAGCTACTGTGGTATATTCTAATTCATTCTATACTTGCGGTAATTCACATTATCTTTAAAGAGACAGAACAATTCCAGCAAAAGAAACCAGACTCATCAGGTGTCAGGCTATGTTTTCCAATGTCTGTAAACACTGAATGAAATTTAATTATTTCCCTCATTGTTAACTTATTGACTACGATTTTATGCATCCCCGCCACCTCCTCTATGTGAACTTCCCACGCTTTGAATTACTTGCTTGCTATATAAAATATCATGTTATTTCCCCAACAATCCTGATTACTCATCCAATGAGAAACAGAGTAGACAAGTACAAATGAGGAGAATTTCACTGTTGTACCTTTTTTACTGTGCTTTAAGAAAAAAGGAAAATTGATGTAACTTAAAATGAAACATCTGTATTGCATGCTCTGCACATGTACCCCAAAACCTAAAATGCAATAAAAAAAAAAAAAAAGAAACATTCTACTTTCTGAGAAAGAAAAACATAAATTACACTTGGTACCAAATTGGGAAGAGGAATAAACAATGAATGCATTTCTAGAAATCAGTAAGAAAAAAGGAAATCCTAATGAGAAAGTGGCCATGAAATATATATATGCAATTCACAGATTTATACAAATGACAAATTGTAAGAAACAAATTATGACTGTACCCAAATTAAATAATACATATTAAAACAGTGAAAAAAGTCCCTTTGGTAAGTATTAAAAAAAGATAGTAGCCAGCATTGGTAAGGATGTGGATAAAGAATAAAAATCTAATGTGCCTTTTTATAGTAAGGTAATTTAGTAATTTTCACTGGTCTTAAATATGCATATCCCTTTTTATCCAGAAATCTAATTTTAGGTAATGATCCTAAGAAAATATATTTCCTAAAGTGTTTAAAGGTTGAGGTATGTTTACTGAACCATTGTTTATACAGTGAAAATCTAAAAAATCTAAATGTATGTTAATAAGGAAATGTTTATTAATGATGGAATACTATACAATTAAAAAACACATATTATCATGGAAAAACCTCAAGTTAAATTAGGTTAAATATTTAGTATGATTGAGTTTATGTAAGGTATAATAAATATCAAGTATACACATTTTTATGTATATAACCCAGAAAAATTACTGGAAGAATGTACATGAACTTTGTATTAATGGTGGTTTTATTTATGAGAAGTGTGAGTATTTGGGAAGGTACACAGGGTGAGAGGTGATGTGTTTAGAGTAGAAACTTTATGCCATAGTTTTTTTTTTTTTTTTTTTTTAACGAGACAGAGTCTTCCTATATTGCTCAGGCTGGTTTTGAATTCCTGGTCTCACATGATCCTCCCACCTCAGCCTCCCAAGAAGATGGGATTACATGCATGAGCCACTGCATTTGGTGTTTTTATTCTTTTCTTTAAAGGTTTTTTTTTTTTTTTATAATTAGGATGCAATTTTGGATATTTTGTTAGAGAAAAGAACCCATACAAAGTTGAAACCTAATAAATACCAAGACATGGATCTGGTACAAGGTTTGGATATAGAAAGCATTTTCACTCTAAATATGAATTTTGCAGTGTTCTATCATGGAAGAGGTTAATAATCAACAACAGTGTCAGAGAAAAATGACAGTGATGTTTTCATGTCCTTTTGGCTTCTTAGGGAATGGAACCATTCTATCTGTTTGGTTTGTCCCATAAGCCAAAAAATGACTTAGTTTTAAGAGTTTCAGATCTTCCCCTTTCTTACTGTTAGTTCCTTTGGCTGTTCCTTTATTAGTTCCTTTGCTTGTTCTCTGTCTTTTGACTTTGTATAAAAACTGCTTCACAATGATCTTACTATGAGGTCCTTTGCACCTATACATGGTGCCATGCCCAACCTTTTAGACAGTTTCTGATACCTGTTTGTTACTCTATAGGTCTTTATCCTTATCACCTTGACATCTTTCAGCATCTTCCTTGATTAGCTACCTTTTTATTATGGTAAAGGTCATGTGCATCACATACTGCTCTTCAATTATATACAAATTCTCATATTTTCAGACTTTTTGTCCCTTTCTTCAACCCTGTTCTAAGCCCTGACATTTTTCCTCATCCTTTAGTTCTACGTTTCCATTTTGTTTCTTTGAAGTTTAATTTCTATATGGAAAGTGAGAAAGGAGCACTAACTTCAGGCAGAGCGCAGAGCAGGAAGGTATGAAAAGTAGAAAAATTTGAGATACCCTAAATGCCTTTTGGCCCAAGGAAAATACTTGTTTAAAAGAATGCTTATTTTTCTTAGAGACAAAATATTTCGAGATGCAAAAGCTGGTTTAGTTAAATGCACAAATCTACCAAACACCTATCTCAAAATAAGGTTTAGCCCTGTGTAGATTTCCAATTCTGAACCCCCAAATTCTTCTAATTCCTATGGTCAGATGAGAGTATTGCTTATACTGTCATTTCCCTAGAAGACTCAATACAGTGCCACCAGCTACAAGGGTGTTTCCAGATTTAGCTTTCAAATACTACTAATTTTGTATCTATGCAATATAAAGATATATAATATCTTCATTATTGTAATTACAACATCTCCCCCAAAAATATCAGGTCCACCTATAGAATTTTAACATTTAAAATGCTTATCTATAAATACAGTTTTCCTTAAACTTCTAGCTATAATATGCTGTACTTCTTTATTCTCCCCCAGTTATAAGACTATCAATAATTCAATGCAAATACTATACCTTCTCCCTTACATTATGAAACACAGTCTTTGTATTCGTATTACTATCGTTAATTTCTAACAGTACTGAAATATTGTTATCTTCAAAATATCCAGTACCATTTCCTATCACCAAACATTACATTATTATATAAATGTGTTCTGGCTAGCATCTGAAATTTGTAAAAAGAAAATTAAGTATTTTAACATCCCATAAACACTGAAAACTACATTTATAAATTTAACTGTAGGACTGACTCAAGATGGCGTGGTGAGAACAATCCAGGATTGAAGCTCTAGGTGAACGCGCGGAGGGTGAGCCACGGCCGCATTTCCAGACGGATCTTTGTTGCCCACAAAACGGAAAAATCCCCAGGTATAAAAGAGACAGCAGGACGCCAGCACAGCGGTTTTGGCTGGTGCAGCCAACGGCCGCTGCAGCCAGCGGCCGGCACTACAGTGCAGCGGCGCTCCACAGCACTCTGCACAAAGCGCACTGGTCCAAGTGCCCTGTTTAACCGGCAATCTGAGACTTCAGAGGGCAGACTGGCATATCCATCTGATTGAACGGGACTTGGACAGTGAGCCAGGCTAGGAGATTTCAAGGGAACGGCATTTGGGCCAGCGCAGTGGGACAAACAAAACGGCGATTCTGAACGCTCTGGGTGGAGAGTTTCACTGCGGGCACAGCTGAACCCAGGACGGTGCAGCTCAGTGGGGGGAAGGGCATCTGCCATTACTGAGGCAATCCGCCCCTACTGAGGTTACACTCTCATCGCTGACCCAGCCTGCTGTTGTCGAGGCAACCCGCCACAACAGAGAGACTCTGCTGCAGGGCGTAGCCCGTGGCAGCAGGGAGGAGACCTCAGCAACAGGGCAGCCTGCAGAAACAGGGCAGACCTCACACCAGCAGGGCAGAGCCTCGGCAGGCAAATAGTGACTAGACTGCCTCCTAGCTGGGCAGGACAGCACAACGGACATTCATAAAGAAAGCCCCAACCCCCCGAGACAGAGCATCTGAGAAGAAAACGGTTTTTTTTATGAGTTCTGCTGCAGCAGAATTAAACGTAGCAGCCTAACAGCCCTGAATGAACAACAGAGCTCACAGCTCAGCACTTGAGCTCCTATAAAGTACAGACTGTCTCCTCAAGCAGCTCCCTGACCCCTCTATATCCAGAAGACTGACATTTGGCAGGCATCATTTTGGGGCAAAGATAGCAGAAAAAGAAACTGGTAGCATCCCTCCCTGTTCTGCAGCTGCTATAGGTGCACCCCAGACAAGCAGGGCCTGGAGTGGACCTCAGCAATCATACACTGGAGGGGCTAGACTAGTAGAGGGAAAACCAAGTAACAGAAATACTTCATCATCAACAATCTGGGTGTCCACTCAGAGACCCAATCGAAAAGTCAGCAACTACTCAGACGACAGGTAGGTAAATCCACAAAGATGAAAAGAAACCAGCGCAAAAAGGAGGGAAAGCACCCGAAACCAGAACACCTCGCCTCCTAGAAAGGACCAAAACTCCTCACCAGCAAGGGAACAAAGCTGGACAGAGAATGACTGTGAAAAAATGACGGAATTAAGACTTCAGAAGGTGGATAATGAGAAACTTTTGTGAGCTAAAAGAACATGTTTTAAATCAATGCAAAGAAACTAAGAACCTTGAAAAAAGATTTGAGGAAATGATAACAAGAATGGATAACTTAGAGAGGAATATGAATGAATTGAAGGAGCTGAAAAACACAATATGAGAACTTCGCAAAGCATGCACAAATTTCAATAGCCGAATTGACCAAGCAGAAGAAAGAGTATCAGAAGTCGAAGATCAACTCAATGAAATAAAATGAGAAACCAAGATCAGAGAAAAAAGCGCAAAAAGGAATGAACAAAGTCTCCAAGAAATGTGAGACTATGTGAAGAGACCTAACCTACGTTTGATAGGTGTACCAGAATGTGACGAAGAGAATGAATCCAAGCTGTAAAATACTCTTCAGGATATTATCCAGAAAAATTTCCCCCACCTAGCAAGGCAGGCCAACACTCAAATGCAGGAAATACAGAGAACACCACAAAGATATTCCGCAAGAAGAGCAACCCCAAGGCACATAATCGTCAGATTCAACAGGGTTGAAATAAAGAAGAAAATACTAAGGGCAGCCAGAGAGAAAGGTCGGGTCACCCAAAAAGGGAAGCCCATCAGACTCACAGCAGATCTCTCAGCAGAAACTCTACAAGCCAGAAGAGAGTGGGGGCCAATATTCAATATCCTTAAAGAAAAGAACTTTCAACCCAGAATTTCATATCCAGCCAAACTGAGCTTCATAAGTGAAGGTAAAATAAAATCCTTTGCGAACAAGCAAGTACTAAGAGATTTTGTCACCACCAGGCCTGCTTTACAAGAGCTCCTGAAAGAGGCACTACACATAGAAAGGAACAACCAGTACCAGCCATTCCAAAATCACACTAAATGCTAAAGAGCATCAACATAATGAAGAATCTACATCAACTAAACAGCCAGCTAGCATCAAAATGGCAGTATCAAATTCACACATAACAATATTAACCCTAAATGAAAATGGACTAAACGCACCAATCAAAAGACACAGACTGGCAAATTGGATAAACACCCAAAACCCATTGGTGTGCTGTATCCAGGAAACCCATCTCACATGCAAGGATACACAAAGGCTCAAAATAAAGGGATGGAGGAAGATTTACCAAGCAAATGGAGAGCAAAAAAAAGCAGGAGTTGCAATTCTCATCTCTGATAAAATAGACTTTAAAGCAACAAAGATCAAAAGAGACAAAGAAGGCTATTACATAATGGTAAAAGGATCGATACAACAAGAAAAGCTAATGATCCTAAACATATATGGACCCAATACAGGAGCACCCAGATACATAAGGCAAGTTCTTAATGACTTACAAAGAGACTTAGACTCCCACACAATAATAGTGGGAGACTTTAACACTCCACTGTCAATATTAGACAGATCAACCAAACAGAAAATCAACAAGGATATCCAGGGCTTGAACTCAGACCTGGAGCAAGCAAACATGATAGACATTTACAGAACTCTCCACCCCAAATCCACAGAATATACATTCTTCTCAGCACCACATCACACCTACTCTAAAATTGACCACATAATTGGAAGTAAAGCACTCTTCAGCAAATGCAAAACAACTGAAATCATAACAAACAGTCTCTCAGACCATAGTGCAATCAAGTTAGAACTCAGAATTCAGAAACCAACCCAGAACCGCACAGCTTCATGGAAACTGAACAACTGGCTCTTGAATGTTGACTGGATAAACAATGAAATGAAGGCAGAAATAAAAAAGTTCTTCGAAACCAATGAGAACGAAGACACAACATAGCAGAATCTCTGGGACACATTTAAAGCAGTCTCTAGAGGAAAATATATAGCAATAAGTGCCCATATGAGGAGAATGACACCCTATCATCAAAATTGAAAGAGCTAGAGGAGCAAGATCAAAAAAACTCAAAACCTAGCAGAAGAAAAGAAATAACTAAGATCAGAGCAGAACTGAAGGAGATAGAGACACAAAAAACCCTTCAAAAAATCAATAAATCCAAGAGCTGGTTTTTTGAAAAGATCAACAAAATAGACAAACCACTAGCCAGATTGATAAAAAAGAAAAGAGAGAACAACCAAATAGGTGCAATAAAAAATGATAAAGGGGAAATCACCACAGATTCCACAGAAATTCAAACCATCATCAGAGAATATTACAAACAACTCTATGCACATAAACTAGTAAACCTGGAAGAAATGGATAAATTCCTGGACTCCTGTGTCCTCCCAAGCCTAAACCAGGAGGAAGCTGAAACTATGAATAGACCAATAACAAGGTCAGAAGTCAAGGCAGCAATTAAGAGCCTACCACACAAAAAAAGCCCAGGTCCAGATGGGTTCATAGCCAAATTCTACCAGATACACAAAGAGGAGCTGGTACCATTCCTTCTGAAACTATTCCAAATAATCCAAAAAGAGGAAATACTTCCCAAATCATTTTATGAGACCAACATCATCCTGATACCAAAACCCGGCAGAGACCCAACAAGAAAAGAAAACTTCAGGCCAATATCCATGATGAACATAGATGCAAAAATCTTCAATAAAATATTGGCAAGCCAATTGCAACAGCAAATCAAAAAACTTATCCATCATGATCAAGTAGGATTCATCCCGGGAATGCAAGGATGGTTCAACAAACGCAAGTCTATAAACGTAATTCACCACATAAACAGAACCAAAAACAAAAACCACATGATAATCTCAATTGATGCAGAGAAGGCATTCGACAAAATTCAACAGCCCTTTATGCTAAAAACTCTCAGTAAACTCGGTATCGATGGAACATATCTCAAAATAATAAAAGCTATTTGCGACAAACCAACAGCCAATATCATACTGAATGGGCAAAAACTGGAAGCATTCCCTTTGAAATCCGGCACTAGACAAGGATGCCCTCTCTCACCACTCCTATTCAATATAGTACTGGAAGTTCTAGCCACAGCAATCAGGCAAGAAAAAGAAATAAAGGGTATTCAAATAGGAAATGTGGAAGCCAAATTGTCTCTATTTGCAGACACCATGATAGTATATCTAGAAGACCCCATTGCCTCAGCCCAAAAACTCCTGAAACAGATAAGCAGCTTCAGCAAAGTCTCAGGATATAAAATCAATGTGCAAAAATCACAAGCATTCCTCTACACCAATAACAGACTTAAAGAAAGCCAAATCAAGAACGAACTGCCATTCACAATTGCTACAAAAAGAATAAAATACCTAGGAATACAACTCACAAGGAACGTAAGGGACCTCTTCAAGGAAAACTACAAACCACTGCTCAACGAAATAAGAGAGGAGGACACAAACAGATGGAGAAACATTCCATGTTCATGGTTAGGAAGAATTAATATCGTGAAAATGGCTATACTGCCCAAAGTCATTTACAGAATCAATGCTATCCCCATCAAGCTACCATTGACTTTCTTCACAGAACTGGAAAAAACCACCGTGAACTTCATATGGAACCAAAAGAGAGCCCGCATAGCCAAGTCAATTCTAAGCAAAAAGAACACAGTGGGTGGCATCACACTACCGGATTTCAAACTATACTACAAGGCTACAGTAATCAAAACAGCATGGTACTGGTACCAAAACAGAGATATAGACCAATGGAACAAAACAGAGGCATCAGAGGCAACACAACATATCTATATCCATACAATCTTTGATAAACCTGACAAAAACAAGCAATGGGGAAAGGATTCCCTGTTTAATAAATGGTGTTGGGAAAACTGGCTAGCCATGTGCAGAAAGCAGAAACTGGACCCCTTCCTGACACCTTACACTAAAATTAACTCCAGATGAATTAAAGACTTAAACATAAGACCTGACACCATAAAAACCCTAGAAGAAAATGTAGGCAAAACCATCCAGGACATAGGAGTAGGCAAGGACTTCATGAACAAAACACCAAAAGCATTGGCAACAAAAGCCAAAACAGACAAATGGGACCTAATCAAACTCCACAGCTTCTGCATGGCAAAAGAAACAGTCACTAGAGTGAATCGGCAACCAACAGAATGGGAAAAAATTTTTGCAGTTTACCCATCTGACAAAGGGCTGATATCCAGAATTTACAAAGAACTCAAACAGATTTACAGGAAAAAAACAAACAAGCCCATTCAAAAATGGGCAAAGGATATGAACAGACACTTTACAAAAGAAGACATATATGAGGCTAACAATCATATGAAAAAATGCTCATCATCACTAGTCATTAGAGAGATGCAAATCAAAACCACATTGAGATACCATCTCACGCCAGTTAGAATGGCGATCATTAAAAAATCTGGAGACAACAGATGCTGGAGAGGCTGTGGAGAAAAAGGAACACTTTTACACTGTTGGTGGGAGTGTAAATTAGTTCAACCACTGTGGAAGACAGTGTGGCGATTCCTCAAGGCCTTAGAAATAGAAATTCCATTTGACCCAGCAATCCCATTACTGGGTATATATCCAAAGGACTATAAATCGTTCTACTATAAGGACACATGCACACGAAATGTTCATTGCAGCACAGTTTACAATAGCCAAGACCTGGAACCAACCCAAATGCCCATTGATGATAGACTGGACTGGGAAAATGTGGCACATATACAGCATGGAATACTATGCAGCAATCAGAAATGATGAGTTCGTGTCGTTTGTAGGGACATGGATGAATCTGGAGAACATCATTCTCAGCAAACTGACACGAACAGAAAATGAAATACCGCATATTCTCACTCATAGGCATGTGATGAAAAATGAGAACACATGGATACAGGGAGGGGAGTACTAAACACTGGGGTCTATTGGGGGGAAAAGGGGAGGGCCAGCGGTGGGGGGAGTTGGGGAGGGATAGCCCGGGGAGAAATGCCAAATGTGGGTGAAGGGGAGAGTTGCCATGTGTGTACCTATGCAACTGTCTTGCATGTTCTGCACATGTACCCCAAAACCTAAAATGCAATACAAAATTAAAAAATAAATAAATAAATTTAACTGTATATGATTAAATCCAGATATGCTGAAACAAAGGAGACTGCCATAATCTGCTTAACTTTAAACATATTTTTTTTTTTTTTTTACCTGGAAGGGGCTACCCCCACTAAATTGGGGCCTAATCCTCTAAACAAGGAACGAGGCCCTTCTTTTTCCAAGATCACCCTGAAAGAGAAAAAAATTATATTAGAAATACCCTTCAAAGTTTGGTAATTTATTTACTTTGCATGAATAAAGTTAGAGTCTAAATCTGGTATTTTGTATTATAATGTTACGCTTCTCTGGTGAGTTTTCCTTATTTATTAAAAATTTGTGGCCAGGTGCAGTGTCTAATGCCTGTAATTCCAGCACTTTGGGAGGCTGAGGCGGGCAGATTCCTTGAAGTCAGGAGTTAAAGACCAGCCTGGCCAACATGGTGAAACCTCGTTATTAATAAAAATACAGAAATTAGCTGGGCATCGTGGCGCATGCCTGTAATCACTATTTGGGAGGCTAAGGTAGAAGAATCGTTTGAACTCAGAAGGCAGAGGTTGCAGTGAGCTGAGATCACACCACTGCACTCCAGCCTGGGTGACAAAGGGAAATTCTGTCTCAAAAGAAAAAAAAAAAACCACATTTTTTTTTTTATGACAACATAAATTGTTTTGTACTGATAATAGATTCACTAGTAATGATTTTTTTTAAAGTCTGTTTGGATTCTTCCCTGAAAGATTAAGACATATTGATAAAGACTTCTACATTATTTTCATGTGATCATGCTACTCTTATCTTTGATTTCCTTAATTTTACTATCTTTACCAGCAAGTTGAAAGCTTAGTAATAATAACTATACATCAGTTAGAAATGTAGTTCCTTCCTGGTTTTGAGGTCTTTTAATCAATATTGAACAATACTCCTTAGTACTGCAATATTACCTCATTCCCATTCCACTGAAATGCTGTAGCAGAATCTATCACCCTAATGTCCCTTAGGGTACTAGAATGGTTGGCCTGTTATTTCTCCTGCCACTCAGTTAACACCTGCTATACTAAGTACTTAATTGTTTATAACTAGAAAAAGTAAGTAGATAAAAAAAGAAGGTAAGGCCCCCGACATTGAGAAATTTGCTGTTCGGTTTTGGTAAAAAGAATTATAACGAAACAACTAAATTAACAGATCATATTAACAAGCAAATACTATACAACCTAGATACAAACATGCCCAGCAGAGAAAGGAATAGAGAGCCACGTCTAAGTCACAGAAGGCTTTCCTGGAGTAAGTTATGAAATGAAGTTTTGGCAATGAGAAGGAACAGAAAGTGAAGAATATTTTAATTCAGAGTTAACAGATTAGGCCAGGTAGTTCTCAAACATCTATCTGCACAAGAGTGATCTCTTGAAGGGTAGTTGGGCCTAATGGTTAATTTAAGGCCTGAACTGAGTGGTCAGACTTCTCAGGTGTGAAGACCAATGTTGGTAACCGCTAACTCTAAGACAATGAAATAAGTTTTGTCTCATAGTTTCATCAGCAGTAAATAAAGAAGAACAGTACCTCCTTACTGGTTATCATTTACTGGGATTAAGTAAATTAATATATAAAGAGCTTAAAAGAGGGCCTGAAAAACTGAGGAATTAAAACACAGCCCAAAAGGATTCCTGAAGTTCCGGTGAAGAGAAGGCAAAACCACTGAAAAAGAGAATTTATAAGTATATTACAGAGGTCAAAAGAAGAATTTTAAGGAGAGGTAATCAGTGGTAGTAAATATCAAAATCATGATATTAAAATCCTTTTACTATTATAAATTAGATACAAGTATTTCTCTATTACTACGGCTTTTTTTTTTTTTTGAAATGGAGTCTCACTGTATCACAAAGGCTGGAGTGCAGTGGTGCAAACTTGGCTCACTGCAACCTCTGCTCCTGGGTTTAAGTGATTCTCCTGCCTCAGCCTCCTGAGTAGCTGGGATTACAGGTGTGTACCACCATGGCTGGCTTCTGTATTTTTAGTAGAGATGGGGTTTCACCACATTGGCCAGGTTTGTCTCAAGGTGATCCACCTGCTTCGGCCTCCCAAAGGGCTGGGATTACCACCCAGCATAAGCCACTGCATCCGGCCTAACTATGGCATTTCAATGCAAAACTGTTATTAATTTTATTCTACCTATTCATGTACTTATGTAAGCAAGTTTTAAAAAAGAAAAGGCTGATGAAATCTTTTTTTTGGTTTGTTTGTTTTTATTTATTTTTTATTTTTTTATTTTTTTGAGACAGAGTTTCGCTCTTGTTCCCCAGGCTAAAGTGCAATGGCGCAATCGCAACCTCCGCCTCCTGGGTTCAGGCTATTCTCCTGCCTCAGCCTCCCGAGTAGCTGGGATTACAGGCATGCGCCACCATGCCCAGCTAATTTTTTTTTGTATCTTTAGTAGAGATGGGGTTTCACCATATTGACCAGGATGGTCTCGTTCTCTTGACCTTATGATCCACCCGCCTCGGCCTCCCAAAGTGCTGGGATTACAGGCTTGACCCACCGCGCCCGGCCCTGATGAAATCTTTTAGTAACAAAGGTAAACACACAGAATGAGTTTATTTGTTACTACAAAACAAACACTACTGAGCTAAGTTCAAACAGTGAGCTGATAAGGCAGACACACAGGCATTCAATTATTTACAAGTATAAACATGCAAAACCTGATTTTAACAGTTTTCAAATTTCAAACCCAATTGCAACATAACAAAGTATGGGAAAATGTAAAAACAAATCTTTTTCAAACCATCGGGAAATGTTAAACAAATCCTGAATAGCATTAGAACTCTGCTGTAAGTCTCAGCTGTGTTTAGGTTACACAAAAATCACAGATTATCATTAATTGGATATACTTACTTGTGAGAGTTCTTGGAACATTAAAAACATACACAAAAGGAGTTAGCATTAAACATCATCACATTTCCAAAGTAAATGAATAATCCAAAATAAAATACTTATAATAGCCTTAGAAAAAAAATTCACTGGATAAATGTAGAAATACTCTAAAAACAGGCTGGGCGAGGTGGTTTACACCTGTAATCCTAGTATTTTGGGAGGCCGAGGCAGGCGGATTATCTGAGATTGGGAGTTCAAAACCGGCCTGACCAATATGGGTGAAATTCTGTCTCTATTAAAAATACAAAAAAGAAATATTCTAAATACAAATGACTTGGAAATAAAATTACATTTTATATTATCTAATTGTTCTCCATTAGGGATTATCGTTCCTTACGAGTATAATTCAGAGTAACTTCTGTAATTAGTTTATAAAGAACCTTTTTAAATGTGGCAGAATATAAGTAAACAAGCATCTAAAAATCACTTAGGCAAACAAACTAAAAAAGACTCATGAATAGTATGCTCTCACTTTAGGCAATGAAGAGGTCCAGGAGACATTACTCGGTTGACACTGGCTCCAGCCATGGTGTTCAGCTGAACTTCAGAAATATAAAGTGTCACAGAAGATGACTGCAGTCGTGTTTTTACAACTTCCAGTGGACATGTCAGAATAGCCCCCACTGTACCACCACATCTAAAAATAAAAGAAAGGGACAAAGCTTATCTACTTAATTCTTAAGTTAGTACATATATGTCCAGAACTGCAATTCACATGGATATCTGGAGCTTTGCCAACATACTAAAATTTATAATTTTTAATGTTCTATGACTAAACAAATTTTTAAGTTTTCACTATTTGATTACATAAAACACCTTCAGTAACTAAAATGAATATAGCTTAGTAACTATCTGGCAAGAGTAACTGCTGAAGTCTTCAATTGATAGGAGCTGTTACTAGGTACAAAAGGCTTTTATTTTTTAACATTAAAAAATTATCCCCTTCATGAAGCAGACATTTTTATGATATTCTAGAAAACGCAAAATGAGAGGAAAAGAAATGACATCAGTGGTTTCCAAGGGGTAGGAGAGAGGGAAGAAAGTGACTGCAAGGGGCATGGGGGAATTCTTCGAATAATGAAAAATGTTCAATATCTTTTTTTTTTTTTTTTTGAGATAGAGTCTTGCTCTGTCATCAAGGCTGGAATGCAGTAGCATGAGCATAGCTCACTGTAGCCTTGAACTCCTGGGTTCAAGCAGTCCTCTTGCTTCAGCCTCCCTAAGTGGTCAAAGACATGAGCCATCATGACACAGTATACTTGGAGTATAAGCAATGCAGAACTCAGAAGAACCTGTGGATTGGTTCATACAATATTCACACTACAACAGTGATCCATTTATGGCAAACCATAATAATTTCAATTTGGCTTTGCCTGATTTCTTTTTAACTGTTTAGTGTATTTACTTTCTAAATTTATTGAACATAAAACCTAATAGGCCCAAAATCTGTAATAAACATGTACTTGTTTTGATTTTATATTCTGTAAAACCTAAGAAAGAGTATTCTTAAATATGAATTACTTCTAAAAAATGTATTCAATGAACTGAATTATTTCCATAATTAAAGCAATGTGAGCACATAAAACCATGATTCCTACTCAGTCATTCCTGGTTCCAAGAAAATAAATACTATACAACGAAAACAAAACAAGAACAGGTAAAAACAATACTTATGCCTTGCATGCTTGTTGTAAAGATGATATAACCCACATAAAGTATTTTGTAAAGTGGCACATAAAAAGTGCTCAATAAATATTAGCTCTGTAATTATGTCTCCATTACTGATAATAGTAACTATGAAATTTTATAATATAAGTATTATAAATATTTTGTGGCCAGACCAACAGACAAGGTAAATACTATGATAACTTAAAAACCACTTCAGCAAGAAAAATACATGAGAATCGAAACTGGTCAGGCATGACGGTGCATGCCTGTAATCCCAACCTTTCAGAGGCTGAGGTGATGGATCACTGGAGTTCAGGAGTTTGAGAGTAGCCTAGGCAACACAGTGAGACCCCGTCGAAGAAAGGAAAGGAAAAAGGAAAGAAAAGAAGAGAAAGAGGGGAGGAGGGGAGGAGAGGAGAAAGAGCCAGGTACAGTGGCACACACCTGTAATCCCAGCTACTTGGGAGGCCAAGGTAAGAGGATTGCTTACACCTGGCAGGTCAAGGCTTTAGCGAGCGGTGATTGCACTACTGCACTCCCACATAGGCAACAGAGTGAGACCCTGTCTCAAAAAAAATTTTTTTTTAATAAAAAAACAAAACCAAACAAAAGTCCAGGCACAGTGGCTCACACCCGTCATGTTAACACTTTGGGAGGCCAAGGAAGGTAGATCACTTGACGTTAGGAGTTAGAGACCAGCCTGGCCAACATGGTAAAACCCTGTCTCTACTGAAAAAACATATATATAAAAAAATTAGCCGGGCACGGTGGTGCATGCCTGTAATCATAGCTATTTGGGAGGGTGCCGTGGGGGAAGTCAAGATTGTAGCACTGTACACTCCAGCCTGGGCAACAGAGTGAGACTCTGACTCAATAAATGAATAGACAGACAGACAGATAGTACAGAGGTGGGGGTGGCATAAGTGGGTATATGCACAAGCACTTAGGTTGTCCTGAAGTATTTTACATTATAGAATGCAACAGATGTATGGTATAGGGGTGACACTCTGGCATTTCTCTTGCTGCAACTTAAAAATAATTACTGTACATACTGGAAAGCAGAATTGATGTAGAGAACAAAACTGTTGCTTCAATAAAGATGGGATGAACTACATTAGATTTATCTTCTTTCCATGTCGAAAACCTCACTGTCTAAGGGAATATGCCAGAAGAACAGAGAGCCCCAGAGAAATCGGCAGCTGCAAGTTTTCAAACAATAAGGCCAACAGGAAAGACAACTTAATAAAGAGGAAGAAAGGCATGCAGAGGGAAATACCAAAAAGCAGCAGAGGTTTGCCCTGCAGAATTGCTATGAGGCCTAATGACTAAGGGCAAAGAACTGAAAACAGCAGGACTGGCTGCTGTCACAGGGTGCATGGCAAAGGTAGGATGCCCAGTCTCTATGCCTTTTACACACACACACACACACACACACACACACACACACACAGAGATACATGCTGGATAAAACTATATTCCTGGGCAGAAAGCTAATTCTCTGAAGTACACAAACTCAACATTTCTGAGCTCAGGTTTAGCCGGGACAAAGGATGTAAAAACAACCCACACCAAGATGCACTACTGCAATCTTTCAAGGACTTCAGCAACTTCCAGAATGAAAAAAGGTCACATAACAGAGGAAAAGTGACCCGATTAGCATCAGACTTCTTGACAACTACAGATTACTTACCCTAAAATTCTACACTAAACCAAACTATATATCTGGGAAAAAGAAGCATTCAAGAAATTGCCTACTGTATACCCTTTTCTTATATAGCTAACTAAAAGATATATTCCATGAATTAAGAAAGTAAACTAAAAGAAGATGGCGGGAAAGTCGGGGAGGGAATCAAATGTAGGAACAGACTAACCCAAGAAAGAGAAAGAAGCCCTAAGATGATAGCCAAATGTCAGACCTGGAGAAAAACAAAACAATCAAGATAGAATTAGGATGACAGAATTCAGTGGGACAAAAATCTCTAGGAAAAATGAAAACAAATGTTCGAGTACTCACATAACTAAGCAAAAGTTTTTAAACGGAGGCAATTACTAACTTCAGGGGCAGCGTGGGGTGGGGAGGAATGAAGTTATTCAAGAAAGAAAAGGTCAACATAATGGACAATTTAGCTCTGCAGTGAACAGTATTTGTATTGTCACAATAAGGTAAGCACTAACTACTGATTTAACAAAACCTGCATCAAATTATATATTGACAGGATGTAAAGAAAGGGGAAACAGAGAGTGGTACAATATAACTAAATCCTCATCTACCCGACGGAAAGATGATGTACAATATATTAACTTGAAAACCAAGAAAAAGCAAGAGAGTAAAAACAGTGGAGTGGAAGCAGGCACTCATTACTGGTCTTCCCTCTGATCAGTGATGTGGATGACATCAGTGGTAAGGTGTGGCCAATGTAATTTGCTATTAATAACACAGTTCAAGGATAGCTGCTTTACTAGGTTTAAAAAGTTACAAATCAAAGTTATTTCTATAAAACAGTCACTCATTTGTTCTATATGCTTTCTTGATTAGCAAAGAATTCCAAAGAGAGAATAGTTACTGTAGCAGAAGGGCGTAAGTTCATTACTCTGAACATCAAAAATCCAGAAAGGAGAGTTTCTTGGTTATGAATCTAGTAACACTGTTAAATGTCACTATACTTCTAGTATATCCAGATTAGAAATAACTACATGTTCTTTATGTTCGTAGTGAAACTACCTGGATTAATGCTCATTTAAAGTTTTATAGGTAAACGTCTTTTATCTTAAAGATATGAGAAGGCCAAGATGGCTTGGTGAGTCAAATAATCATATAGCTATGTATTGATTTTATAAAATACTTAAAATTGTTTAATATGGTTATCACTGAAGAATTTTCACTAAGTGAATATGAATAGCAAGCATATGAATTTCAGCCTTCGTACCCAGTCATCAATCTCTAGGACAGGTACATAGACACAAAACTCCATCAACTAGATAGTCCTAAGCTGCTGAGGCACTAGATCTGGCTCCCCCGGCTTTAAAAGGACTTTTACTAGCCATAGTTGGAAAAAATCCAAGGCACTTCTGGATACTGCTTAGGAAAGGGTGTGTCATGGAAAAGAACTAGGATACCAAGACGTGACTTTTAGATATATGTCCTCAATATTAACCTCTTGAGCATGCATGGATCATAGACAGACAAACAAAGTATTTTCAGATAAGGTCCACAATGCTTGTATGTGCACATTATTTAAAAAGGTACTTTATAATTCATTTTGTTAACTTTAAGCAGTGTTTTATAAAGCAAGATGACTAGGTTAAAATATTTTATTTTTCTGCCTGCTGTGATCCACTTAGGGCATTAGTCAAATTAAGAAATATCAATCACTGAAGATGAGGTTTCTTTAAAATGTCAGCCAAACCTAAGGAGTTTTTCAATCTTAAAACTTGTAGATTGGGCCAGGTGCGGTGGCTTACACCTGTAATCCCAGCACTTTGGGAGGCCGAGGTGGGTCAATCACCTGTGGTCAGGAGGTCTGGCCAACATGGTGAAACTCCATCTCTACTAAAAATACAAAAAATTAGGTGGGCATAGTGGTGGCCGCCTGTAATCCCAGCTACTCAGGAGGCTGAGGCAGGAGAATTGTTCGAACCTGGGAGGCAGAGGATGCAGTGAGCCAAGATCATAGCACTGCACTCCAGCCTGGGCAACAAGAGCAAAATTCCATCTCAAAACAAAACAAAAAATACCATGTAGACTGTCCCTGAAATTCTATGCAAATCATTAAGGAAGTCTTACCAAAAATTGTTTCTCTGATAGTACATTTGTGTAAGTATTTTCTCTGAAGCTTTAGTGTTTAGACAAGAAACAATACAAGTTTTTGAAATGAGGATGGACATCTATATACCTGAAAGACTAACTTATGAAAAGTCAACTATGCGTGGTTGAGAGTAAAACAGCTTTCTGTAAGCACAGGAAGTGTT